CACCGAACATCCAGAGAAAATCAGCAGGTTCAGGCTGCTCTCGCCACCAATGGGACTCAATGGAGCTTTTCACCACCACGAGCACCCCATTTTGGAGGCAAGTGGGAAGCAGCTGTGAAATCAACAAAATATCACCTTAGAAGAGTCTTGGGGACAACAACACTCACATTTGAGGAACTCAACAGTGTCGTGATCCAGATAGAGGCCTGCCTAAATTCCAGGCCAACCTGTCCCATGTCAGATGACCCAGACGATCTCCAAGTACTCACCCCATGACACTTCCTGATAGGTGAGTCTCTTCAACTGATTCCAGAGCCATCAATCATCGACAAGAACCCCAGCAAACTGCAGAGATGGAACCTGGTAACGCAGCTAACTCAACAATTCTGGTCCAGGTGGGCCAAAGAGTGTCTTCAACGATATCAGGCAATCTACAAGTGGACGCATCGAGAAGAGAACATCAAGGTTGGCGACATGGCGCTGATGATCGACGAAAACTATCCACCAGCACAATGGCCAATCGGACGAGTCATTGCGACATGCCCAGGAGCAGATGGGCTAACGAGAGTCGCAACTATAAGAACCGCAAAGGCAGAGGTACCAAGGCAGGCAGATGGATCACCAATCATAGAAAACATCAGAACAATCTACACAGAGCTTGACAGACCAATCACCAAGCTTTGCCTACTGCCATCAGATCCACCACCTCCAGAGCAACCTCCAGACGATGATGCAGAAGAAGATCAACAGGACTAAAATCACCATTAATTCATCATCCGTGATGATGAATTGCCCCCGGGATGTTCGAAATACAGCCTAAATCTCCAAAATGGTCACGGTCGACTAACTCGGCCATCTCCGAAAATCTCCGTGAACTTTCGGGTCAACGGACACAGGTCAGCGCGGCACCCGGAAGAGTCAGTCAGTAGTGTAGAAGTATCGTTTCGATAATGGTCTAAAGTATTCAGTCAAACAGTATTATAAATTTAATAATTTTGTTCAGTACATCAACTTGTTGATTAAGTTCAGTAATTTCAGTGGCTCAACGAGATAAGGTGAAAAGGACAATATCAGTGAAAATTAGACATTCAACAATAATTGACACCAAAGAGTGTACCGAAATAGTGACAAGTGGTTCGATCCCACGCCAAATATATTGATAATTTTCTAAAACGCCTACGATAATTTTCACCACATCTTCCTCCACCTTTTCATCCCACATCCACCCTAAACTAGTTCCTCAACAAACAAGGTCGTTACAAAAAATTTTCTATCTCTCTTGGATTCGGAGATATTGCCTGGAAATTCAGCTAAGAACTCAGTCAATTCGTGATCGCAATGTAGATGTGGGAGCCACAACTCAAATCGTTTTATTGCTTTGCTAGCGATTTTGCCCAGCATTTGCTCTCCTTCAAAAGTATAATGTGTCACAATACTAGATTAAATATAGTGATCAATTAACAGAACTATAGGGATGATTAACAGAAGAATTTCTATGAAAAAATGCAAAAATTTGACGTTTTCATTTTCTTTTAATGTGTTGCAGGTGGAACTTTCGAACTTTTTTTTCTCAAAATGTGGGGAATTGAGGCTAGAATCTCGTTAATTTTTGTCAAAATGGTAGAAAAATCTTCACCTATGAGAATGATTTTTTAAAGGAAAAAAATGTCGATCAAAAATATTATTTAACAATTAAAAATCAATTAAAGATTTTTCCCTTCAATTTTGATGTTTTTGATTTTCCAGAATTTTTTCAGGTTTTTATGTAGCTTTAAAGTACTCGAAAAAAAATAAAATCGAAAAGAAAAGTTTTTTGAGCATAAAAAATCAGGGGATCGGTATAATGATCTGAAATTTTATACAGAATTGTTGTTTTAGGTGGTGAATATGTGAAAAAATTTCCGCCTTGAAATTCGCTGGGGGCAGATTCACTATGCTTATCCGGCTAGTCCCTTTTAGGTATCTCTCAAATATTAGAGAATTTTTTAATAAATAATGGGAGAACAATTAATAGGAAAAGGTGAAATTCTCCAAATACAACTGATGTGAAGGAGTACGAGCTCCCGACAATTGCACTCTGATTGATTGAAATGAGAACGAAGCACATAGTTTGAAAAATTCGAGAAATTTATCGGATTTCCTCAACAATTTCACAAACATTCTCCAAAAAAAAATTCACAAGAATTTCTGAATTTTATGGCGAATTTGAAAAAATTTCAGATTCATGGTTCAAGTTGCAAGTCCTATAATATCTAATAAAATTGTAAGCAAAATCATGAATGACGAGAAAATAGTCCAAATTAGCCAAAGAGCATCAAAATCGGCCTTATAATTTTTACAAAAAAATATTTGAATAGTGTTGTAAAGGTGTAAAGAATAGTAAAGGGGGCGGCGAAGACTAAGGAATTCTGAATTGGGAGAAATTTCCTATCGTAAAAAGGGGAAAGGAAATCGATCTCGAAATATCTCGAAAATCTCGAATAAGCGTAAGCATAAGACTGAAACTGAAGTGCCACCACGTGAGGAGATGAGAAGGCGATAATTATTGTTTTGTACTCTGAATCGAATTTTGATTATAATTATAGTTAGAACCTCATTTAAAGAGCATAGAAATTCAGAATTAGTAAATCACTCATTGAAATACTGACATTAAACAGGCGATCAACCGATAAGCATTATTTTCATGAATCTTAACACTCAGTATCATAAGACGATGATGAATCATTCATTTTTGACAGAAATACAAGGAAAAAAATTAAAAAAGACATAAGGAAAGGACATCAACGTCGTGGCACGGCGGCGCTAGCGTATATGAAAAAGGAGCCTTTCAGCTTGACTGAGATAAGAATGCAAAGCCGAAACTGTAACGAGTTTTAACTTAAGATCAATATGAATATGAAAATTTTAGAGTAGATCCTATTCCTAATGAATGCACAATTGCAGATTGAGAGAAGATTTTTGAAAATTAGTGATGAGGTGTTTCAACTTTCTTACAAAATCCACCTCCAATAGGATGGAGAGGGGATGAATTATAGGAAACTTAAGGAAGTTTACAGGTTTCCTCAAAAATCAGAGAATCCTCGGTTTTTTCCAAATGTAACATGATTCGCGCTTCCAGAGAATTTAAAACAAATGAGATTTTCTGAAAAAAATCGAAAAAATTCTCGAGTTTTTCGGAAATTCGAAAAAATGTTCAGTATCTCCCACTCAAATATTAGAGTTTTTGAATAAACAATGGGAAAACAATTGATAGGAAAAAACGGAATCTTCCAAATAAAACTGATGTGAAGGAGTTACGCGACCCCAACTACTGTATACTCTAATTGATTCAAATGGGAAAGAAGAACATAATTTTAAAAATCTGAGAATGTAATTTTACAAAAATTTCCAAATTTTTCAAGCAAAATTCACAAGAATTTCGAGATTTCATGGAGAATTTGAAAAAATTTCAGATGATTCATCAAAGTTTCAAGTTCATGGCATCGTCGAATAAAGTTGTGTAAAAGATTATAAATGAGGAAACAATCCTCCGAATTGGCGAAGGAGTATCAGAATCGGTCATATAATTTTTCCAGCAAAAATAATGAAATGCTTTTGTACAGATGTAAAAGAGAACAAAAGGGGTGGCGAACACAAAACAATTCTGGGTTGTGAGAACTTTAATAATTATTGTTCCGCACTCTGAATAGAATTTTGATTATAATTATACTTAGAACGTCATTCACTGAGCACAGAAATTCAGAATTTATGAATCACTTATTGAAATATTGAAATTAAACAGGTGATGAACCGATAAGCATTGTGTCCATTCATCTTAACACTCAGTTTAATAAGCCGATGATGAATCATTAATTTTTGAAAGAAACATAAGGAAAAAACGAGAGGAAGCATAATGAAAGGGCATCAATATAGAGTCTAATCTCATATAGAGGAAAATTTAGCAAGAAAAATTTTGTCCCTAAGTTACAAGATTGCTATCATATCATTATTATTGTTTCATTTAAGGGTTCATTTCTTGTCTGTGATTATTAGATAGCCGACACGAAAAACTACTATCCCTTATTTCGCATATAAAACGAACATTTTTCGGGGGCAAAATACATATGGGAGTATCGAATAACGAAGAAGTGCTGGAAATGACATTTATTGCGTGTACAGAGAATGCCATTTTTTTAAACTACTAAATCTATTTTTGCGACAAAAATTTTTCATCTCGCCACACTCTCTGCACGTGTAGTACAAAAAAATTATTTTTTGATAATTACAAAAAAAACTATTTTCTTGGCACAAGTAGGGAAAGGTGGGGTAAAATGGACTTTTGAGACTTTTAAAATTATTCAAGACTCAGAAACAAATTTATCAATTGCGCTCAGTTTAGGCTCGCTACAAAGGGAAAGAATTGTTCTTTGTATTGAAAAAAAAAATTATTAAATTTTATCAACATTTCAACCCCTTATTAACATTTTTAAAAAAGTGAAGTGTCCGTTTTACCCCTACCTCCCCTAAAACTGATTTGAAAACTGTCATTTTTCTCTCGCCCTGTACCCAACTACTGTCATGCTACCCCTGTCACACTGCCGCCACTCCTTCCCAGGGGGGTCGTAAAAGTCCTACACCCAGTACAAAAAGGCCTATTCGACAACATGCTCTGTGCACTTCCCTGCTCTAGAAGTTTGGCTAAGGCTCTCGGGGGTTACGTCGGTAAGCCCTTTCATCAAGTTACAACGAATTTCGTTAAGAGTAAAATAAGACGAAATAATTAAAAAAAAATAAGACAATAACAAGAAAAACAAAAAACTTACGTATTCTTTTTTGTCGCTTAAAATTTCTTTAATTCTCATCACAGCGTTTTGAGTCTAAAAATACACATAGAAAACAAATTTGTCATTTTTGAGGTTATCTGCCAAATTCAGAAATTTCACTTAGATCTCCATTCGATAGAAATTTAGAAACGTTGAAAATCATTTTTTACTCACAAGAACAAGAGCAGCACGAGTTGATAGGGTTTTCTTTCCTTTAACAGCCCGAACCGTGGCAGACGCAGTAATTCGTGACGCCATAATTATGAATTAAATATCTTCAGTGGTAAAAACATATAATGTCAACGTGTTTACTCCAATCTGTGATTCGATTGTTCTCTATTCGCTTTTTACTTGTGATCCTTATATATAAAGGAAAGCATAATGGCTGCCGAATGAAAACTCGAATTGAAGAATGTCGAATCGATTCACCGAAAGTCGAAGTCGAACGGACGTGTTCGATCATGAACTTATGAAACAGAAATAGAGTGTCGTATCGAATAAATTGCCACATGTTGTTATCTTCAGAGTCATTGCGGCGGGTGAAAGACGCATTCTCATGAGAACTTTCATGAGAATGAGCAATTCGGCTGCGACAGTGCTATTTACGAAAGTACGCTAGAATTACAAATCGGATTTCTAACCTCGAATAAGAAACGAACACCGTGTATACATTAAATACATCAGTGCATATTTTCTATAATACACGCATTTGTTTATAATTAGTGGAATGGGAAATGATTTTTTGGTGATAAAAGTTACGAGCTGACAAGATTAAATTATAGATGATTAATGAACTTGAATGTCGAGAATGAATTGAAAAAAAAAATAGAAAATCTAAAAATATTCAATTTTAAATTTTTCATTCGATTTTGGTTATTCGATGGTTTGTTTAATGAAATCAATACTTATATGACAAAATAAAATAATATTGATTTTTTTGCCATGGACCTAATTTTTGGTGAAATTCTGAAAACGGAAGAATTCGTTATAATTCAGGAATAGTACATTACATGCCCGAGCCTTGGAAAACAGATCACCGTCCTCCACGTGCACGATTGCCTTCCGAGTCGAAGGCGAGGATGGGGTTTTTCAGGTCCCGTTACACGAAAAAAATTATTCTTTGAGTGAAACATTGATTGCTATTGGATTATTTATATAAAAAATGATTGTGGTCTTCGAAAATTGTGATTTTCCAATCATTTCATTAGTGTATTTCAGAAAGTCGACTTCATTTTTTCCTAGCAATTATACTGTTGAAAAAAATTGAAATTCATGGATAGTTCAGTGGTAATTTTTAGGAGCAAGACATTTAAGTTAAATTGAGAGAGGAAAGTCATGAAATTTAAAAATTGACTGAAAATTTAATGGAATTCAACATTTCTTAACAGTATGAAAATAAAAAGTTGCTTGAATTTTCATTGAAAACGTGAATATTCTGCACCCAATTTCTTACTCTGTATTTTCGATTGATAAACCAACTATAATTGTTCTAATCATTTAGGTCGGGGGCAATAGAATGATTCAACTTTCTTAATGTTGCGCTTACTAAGGTTTTCTCCAAAGTTGATTAGAATCAATAACTAGAATTATGAGTTTATTATGATATTTTTTACATGAAGTGCAGAAGAATCTGAATGCACTACAGTGCAAATGATGATAGATTTTTTCACGTTGAACAAAGAATAATAATAATATAGGAATAAAAGAAATTCAGTTATGAATGAACAGCTGTGGCTCAATATTCCATAACAGTAGAGAACAGGAATGATGATATTTTCATAATATCTGACACATTAACATGAATTTCAGATTCACAAAAAAGAATCGAGCAGAAGTCAAATTGTCATTTTACGTTTTAATTTCCAAAATTTGGTGCTGAAAACATGAGGTGACAATATTCTAAATGGGGAATTATGTTGATGATATGAACAATAGATTAATTGAATTACCAAGTGAACTGATTGAAAAATTGTATCACGGTGTTGGCAAGCACTTTTACCAGAGTATCACCAAACATTGAATTTCGGCAATTTACTCTTCGAATTATGTTCGAGTAGAAATTGGATTGTAATTATGATGGAAATCTTATTCAGTGAGCAGAGGAATTAGCATATGCGCAGATTATTCATTGCAATATAAATATTTCATAGTTAATAAATTGAGGCACATCATTTTCATCAGTCGCACTGCTTTTTGCAATGACAATGATTATGAACAATGAATGGAAGAAAGGAATTCTGAGTCCGACGGGAATTGTGTTATAAATATGGTAAGAGAGCCCTTCAGCTTGACTAAGATAGTAATCAAAAGTCGAAACTATTGAAACTGATAATATGAAAATTTCAGAGTCGGTTTTATCTTTTATGTGAGCACTCATCAAGAGATTGTTAGAAATTGATAAATACGTGTTTCAGCTTCGTTACAAAATCCATCTCTAAGGGGGTGAATAGGGAATGAATTATAGAAACTTCGAGGAAGGTTGCAGGTTTCCAAAAAAATCAGAACTGTCAATTTTTTTCCCAAATGTAAGATAATTCGGGAGTTTTCCAAAAATTCAAGACAATTATGAGGTTTTCTGAAGAACTTAGAGACAATCTATGGAGTTTTTGAAAATTACAAAACATTTACAATATCTCTCAAATATTCGAGGATTGTTGAATAAATAATGGGAAAACAATTGATAGGAAAGGGCGGCATTTTGCAAATAAAACTGATTTGAAGCAGTCATGAAAGCCCGAATACTGCACTCTGATTCATTGAAATGCGAAAGGAGGAAATAATTTGGTAATTCTTCAGATTTTCTCCACAATTCCACAAAAATTTTCAAGTTTCTTGAAAAAAATTAATATAAATTTCGAAAGATTATAGAAAATTTGAAAAAATTTTAGATGATTAGATGATGAAAGTTTGAAGTTTATGACATCGTCGAATAAAATTGTGAAAAAATCATGAATGAAGCGAAAACACTTCGAATTAGCGAAAGAAGATCAGAATTGACCCCATAATTTTTCTAGAAAAATAATTGAATACTTTTGTCAAGTTGCAAACGGAAATGAAGAGGGAGGCGAAGACAAAAAAATTATGGCCTGTGAGAAATTTAATAATTGTTGTTTTGCACTCTGAATATAATTTTGATTACAATAGTAATTAAAATTTCATTCAATGAGGACGGAAACTCAGAATTAGTGGATCACTTATTATAATATTTAAATTGAACAAGCAATGAACCGAGACGCATTGTTTTCATTAAGTTTAACACTCAATAGACTAAAACGACGATAAATCATTAATTTTCGAAAGAAACAAAAAAAGCAAAGGCATAATAAATGGGCATCAACGTCGCGGCCGCGGCGGCGCTAGTGATATAATAAAGTCGTCACCAACATGCTCATATTTACCATTTATCAAAAAAGACATAAAACAGCAGAGATTATAAGGGAAACTCCCACGGCCAGAGTTTATAGGGGAGATCAGCAGGGCCAATGTAAAGTGTTCAACAGCAAAATTCGTAGCGGTGGCGCATGGACTACGATGGAGCGTACGGAACTGTTGGTATTGCAGAAGGGCTCGAGTATGTATGAATTTGTCGATCACAACGCTCCCTGCCTTTCTCACAGATACGGCCGCAAAATTAGTTCATGCGCCACCGCTTTGAAATTTTGCGGTTGAAGTTTTTCCATAAGCGCTGGTATTATATGTCTATGCTCGATACTCGTATTCACTTTCGGAGCAGAACAGAGCAGAATGCGTTAATGCGCGTTCTGATTTGATATTTCCGTACACGAAACCCGCTTTATCTCAATAAAAATAATCCTCTAAACAAATTGCTAATCTGCCGATGAGCAACACAAGACTTCAAAGATGTCTGTAAAAATGTGTGACAGTGTAACGCAATGGAATATATTTAGTTAAGTGGAGTGAAGCCCAAAAATTTCCCAATATAAATTTAGTGTTTTTGGTGTTGAATGGTTGGAGGGTGGAAAGGGTTGAAAACAAGTGCTGTGTGAGGCCTCGGAGGCGCCTGGACGTCGGAGAAGGTGAAAAAAATATCGAGCGAATGAAATAAAAACCCTAAGAAAAACGGAGGAAAAAAATAAATAAAATAAATCTCAAGATGTCGTCTGGACACAGTAGTAGAAGTCGTAGTGTACACATAAGTTATATATTTCAGAAGATACAGGGACGTTTTACGGATGCAATGACACCACCAAAATTATCAACCGACAAACGAATGTTAGATAAAACATGGAAATTAATGGACAAAGTAGTTAAACTCTGTCAACAACAGCGGATGAATCTCAAAAACTCACCTCCATTCATTCTCGATATACTGCCAGATACTTATCAACGTTTACGTTTGATATACAGTAAATACGAGGATCGTATGCACGTACTACACAGTAATGAACACTTCTGTGTATTTATTAATAATTTAATGAGAAAATGCAAGCAGGCTATTAAGTTATTTAAAGAGGGTAAAGAGAAAATGTTCGATGAGGCCTCGCATTATCGTAGAAATCTAACGAAATTGAGTCTCGTGTTCAGTCATATGCTATCTGAATTGAAGGCCATATTTCCAAACGGCATCTTTGCTGGTGATCAGTTTCGCATCACTAAATCCGACGCTGCTGAATTCTGGAAGGAACGATTTGGTAACAGGTAAATTATATTCATCCATTCATTCATTCATTCAATCTCTATCAAGTTTATTGATGAGTTTTTAATTGATTTGGACACTGCACCTTATAACACAACCTAACCTAAGCGGAGGGAGGCTGGCTCCTCTCGTTCTTGTGAACCTGTTCGTTTACTCTTATGGCCGACCGTAGAGTTGTTTTCGGGAGTGGAGAAAATGGTCATTGTTACAGTTGAACCGAGAGAGCTGAAGGACTGTAGAACCCAACTTCCTTGTAATTGTAGTCACCTAGGAGTGAAGGGTAAAGATAGATTAATCTCAAACCGATTGATATACAAATCATTTTGCGTTTACATTTTACATTTTTTTTCAAAAACCCGTTGGATTATGAGAAATGGCACTAGAAAATTCCTTTTAAACCGCTTAGCCGCTTAGTCCCTGAGTGAACTGCATACAATTTTAATTTATCTAAATTTTTCCATTTATTTACCTTACAAAATTATCACGGCTGTGCATTATCCAAGAGCTCTAAGTGATTCATATGTTAATCTGAAGTGTTGGACTGCTCTCAACCACAATTTCAAAATTTAAAGAGAAATTGAAACTAGTCGCAAAAAGGCCATTGATTTTTAGTTTTACTCAAAGAATTTCAAATCTGATCAAATCTAGAGCTCAGGCCTATCCTCCAACGTTTTCAACACTTCTTAATAAAAAGTATTTTATTTCTCTCGAGTTCCGAAGTTTAAAGCATTCGTACACCATCCAGCCAAATCCAGACGCAACTAATTCAACTTTGATATATAGTGCGCGTCTCAAAGCAAAAGGTCGTATGTCTAATTTTACATTTTTCCTTTATCTTGGTTTTCCACAACCAACCATTTACGACCTTTTGCCAAAAAGGAATCCCAAAAAATGGAAAGATATTGAACATTACTGATAAATGGAGAAATTACCTGCTTTTTATAAAGTTCTTTCCAGCACGACCTTAAAGATACCTTGTGATGACCCGCATGTATAACAAACAAGCGTAACGAGAATCCATTGCAAAATCATTTAATTATAAATTCAGTAGTGAAAAAGGTTTCACATAAAGCGAAAAGATCGTATATTCAATTCACCAGCGAAGCGGTAAAAAGCTTCAAGTCGATTTTGACTAGTGGCAGCTAATTTTTGATGAATATCTCGATACCTTTTTTGTAGCATTGAATTTGCTCTACAAAAAAGGTCATGACGAAAATTTCGTTATCTCCCGTAGATTCCGAGATATTTCTGGAAAACTTAGCTAAGGGCTAAATCGACTTAAACCATTGTACCACTTCGCTACTGAACTTTATATTTTGCTTCCAACTTGATATGTATATCTGTTTGAAAAAGTTTCCTTCAATTTTACTCATTTCTCGACACAGAAATTATTAGAACATACTTCTATTCATTGAGAGAATGATGAATATAATTCTTTATGTGTTGAATTATCATGTGCTCATGAATTCATGATTCTTAGTCATCATAACCTAAAGAAGTTTTATAGTTCCTCGAAATATAATTCAGCATATCGACAGATTAGTAACAGAGTAACGTAACTACCAAAAACGGTCATTTCCAGAAGTTAAATAAAGCATCTCCAATCATTTTTGATCACACAATGGTCAATCCCAATTACGTTCTTCTGTTTCAAATAAATTGTAAACTTACAAATGATCAAAAAAATTGAAAACGTGAAACAATTTAAGAACCCTCGTTAACAGCAACTAAATTCTATTAGTGTACTCGCGATATTCTAGTCTTCGGGTTCCACATAACTTAATGATGGGAGAATAGGAACCGAAGGCTACAATCATTCCAGCACGATTTTACAGATACCTTGCGATGACCCCCATGTATAACAAACAAGCGTAACCAGAATCCATTCCAAAATCATTTAATTTTGAATTCAGTAGTGAAGCGGTAAAACGGTTCAAGTTCATTTTCACTATTGGGTAGCTTCCAATGAATATCTCGGAATCTGAGGCGGATAGCAAAATTTTTGATATAACCTTTTTTTGTAGAGCGAAATGAGAGCTACAAAAAACGAATGTTTGAGATTGATGCTAAACATTTAGGCGGGTTGGGGAAAAGTGATTTGGAAAAGGTGTGAAAATTAAGAACACGCGATTTACTAAAAATCCACTGGTGATGTATTTTATATGTGTAAACCACGCGTCTAGAAATTTTAAAAGGGTACACTGTTCGTTGAATTGTCTCAACTTAAATTCGATAATTGTTTCTACGCTGCACTTGATAATTCTCTTGATAATTTACTTGATTATAGTCTCAAAATGATTGATTATTGACTCGAAATTAATAGATTATTGAGTCGAATAGAGACGCTACTAGGAGTGTTAACTCAGTATCTCACGGTGATGTACTCGATATAGCGATTGCGACAATACTCGACTGTACAGAGATAGAGACGATACGATACTGTGGTTAGAGTGACTCTCTCGGTGTCTAGAATGATACTACTGACTTTTTCGACAATTTTCTTCGTAGCTGACCGTGACCTTGAAGGGTCCCGAAGTTTCTCGAGATTTTCGTTGAGCCCGGTGACCGTTTGACTAGTTTGAATAGCTGAGTTTCTTACAAGGTAATTACGAAAATTTCGCTATTTTCCTTAGATTGGGAGATACATCCCAATAACTCAGCTGAGAGCTAAGTTGACTTAAACCGTTTTACCGCTTCGCCACTGAGTTAACAAAGGGGGATTAAATTCAGTACCTTGCTTCGGCAAACCGGAAACTTTTTTACTCGTGGTTTCGATTACTGTACCTGCCTCTCCCATTTAACCATCAAGAACATCAAAGAGCGCTTCAATTCCCCAATTATCATTTTTTAAATTCATATTTTTTTTTTCTCGTAACCAATTTTTCACTATGGCCCAAGGGACATAAAAACCCGAGAACGAGAATATCACATTTTAATTTGGATTTTTTGGAGATACGTTCTTCGGTTACAAATAAGCAATACACACGTGTATCTCCAAAGGAGTATATGAGGGGTCATTCGTGGCCAAAAAAAGTTTGGATCAGACAAACATTTTGAGTGTTTTTACAATATTCTGACATGCATGTGAATTAAAAATGGAGATGCGTTTTTTTCACACAAATTTTCACAAAATGAGAAATTTTTGTGGTTACGACTCCATGTTACTAAACTTACGATACAATTATTTGAATTTAATCAAAGACACCGAAAGCTTCTAGGACATGAACTGGAATATTGACAGTGTAACCTGTCCAGGGAAAGGGAATTAGATCATTCTCAATTTTTGAGGGCAGAAATTAACGGCAAAAGGTCGTATTTGAAAAAAAAAATGTCATTACGACCTTTTGCTTTTAGGTAATTTTGCATTCCCTTGGATATAAGTTAAAGGCAAAAGGCCGTAATATGCTGCTCATTGATTACTTTGAAAATGTAGGTATTATAATAATGTTCTTCAGTATATGCACCGAGTATTGGAGAACAAATGGAGATACGGCCGTCTTACTCTAAGAAACTCTGAAAGTAGCTTTTTGGCGTTGACAACATTTTACTTTTAGACACGCGATACGTTTTCATGAAATTTCAAAGTCTCTCCTCTCAGTTTCCCTTTGTACACAGGGAGCATTCAAATATTACTTCACACGTTTTTCGGACAATTTAGCCCCCCCCCCTCCCCCCTCCGTCACAAGACCGTCACAAGCGTGAGCCCCACCTTGTATATTACGTCACAAAATCAACGACCCCCCCCCCTACTTTATGTAGCGATTTTTTTTTAGTGTCAAAAAAAAATCACATGAATAATCATGTCAACTTATTATCACAACATTCAAAAAATTATTTCTGTTTGCAAATCCATTCTTCACCGACGTCGGTGGCCGAAGTGGCTAAGTGCGAGCCTAGTGTGCGAAAGGTTGTGACTTCGATTCCCCGTGGAACCGAGTTTTTCAACCGGAGGCTCCGGTAAGCGGGAGGTCGCTAATATAGTGACCGCCTGTGCCGGCATGGGTTTTCTGTGGTTTCCCATGCTACTCGGTGCAGTGTAGAATCCAGAGCCGCATGCATAGGGTTGGATAGGGCCGATTAGCCAATCAGAGGGCAGAAAGGGCCGGAATTAAAAAAAAAAAATCCATTCTTCATTTTCGTCGTTTTCAATATTACATGTGATTGCCAAAAATTCCCTTTGATGGTTGAGGGCAATTCGCACAGAACGCACATTTGATATAACTGCCATCACACCACAGTGTTGCTGCTGCTCTTTTGAATTGCAGAGATATGCATAATACATCTTACATTTTTAGTTTTCTTTCTAGTTTGATGTTCGGTTTCCTTTTTGTAGGGGGGACGGATGATAAATAGTACTTTTCGTCACTAGGCTGAAAGAATATTTTGTATCATGTGTCCGTACACATCGATTTGCGAAACACTGCGTTACGGACTAAATGACGAAAAGATGCATTCCTGATATTTGAAATTGAAAAAAAAAAGAATATGATGTGACATAACAATCTAAGCAACATCCCCTCCCCCCTCCGTCGCAGTCGTCATGAAATGCAGACCCCCCCCCCTAATCGCATGACGTAATATTTGAACGCTCCCGTAGTTGACTAATTGGCATTTGATATGGTAGGTACTTGGATGAATTGCAAATCAAGATGTTCAATTTGACTATTTTATATAGTTGATGATTGTATCCAACTTCTGTGAAAATCTCCACGAAGCTTCATACCGTGCTCTTTTAGTATCTTGTGAATGCAGATAGTTATCAGTTGAAATCTCTGAGTACAGCTACACATCCTCTCTCGCTGCAGTTCTTGCTCTTGACTCGCCGAATAAGTTCATTGAACCTAACTGGAGGCTCCGGCAGCACTCGTCTGGCCGTTGCCCAGCGAATAGTAAAACCTCGCGGCGTCAATCGGCTTGTGGGTCATGGTTATTGAATAAACGAAATTGAGGGGAAAAAATGCGACCTTCGCTGAGCGTCGATCGATAATTTTAATTTTTGTAC